TCTACACGGCAGCATCTCTACGCGCGTAATAGGGCATCAATTAGAGCGTTAGAAGTGATAGCAATAGTGAGTAGAGAGATGTTTATTTTATTGAGCCTAACAAAGCCAAAGAATACATATATATATATGTTAATATAGCACTTGTGGAAGAAGATGTCAAGCGTTGTGAAAACATTAATTCTGATGTTGAAAGTTAAGATGAAAATATTAGTGCGTTCGACAAGACAAATAGCGAATTCGAGTCAGCGAATGAAGAAGTAGAAATCGTTCAACCTGGATAAAGAGATCCAGATGATATTTAAAGATATTGAAAGAGATGCAATTGGAAGCCATGAAAAGCAATACAACGTTGTACGTGTGATGTATACAAAATAAAAAGGCTCCAGCTTCTCCTAATACATGCTGCTACTTATGGCTTTAATAGGACTTGCACAAGTTTAATAAGTTAACGGGAGAAAAACAGTTTAACTCTCATCGTACTATTATTATGCTGCAATGGTTATTGTACAGAAGGGGGAAGAAAGAAAGAGATAAAAAGATATTAAGGTTTTGCTTCGTTTTTAATATTTATAGGATGGTATGTTAAATCAAAGTCAAAAAGAGTACCCCTTTTACATATTATGACACAATCTTACTACAATTCGTTTTCCAGTCTAAATGGTTGCTTATGATTGATATACAAACGATAAAGTTTTTTTTTATTGACGGTTTTCCAAACCATATCTGTCAACATGTGTTCTACTGTGACCCTCTCCTTCTTTTCATTCTCTCGTGATCTCCGCCCCTTTATCAATGTGCAGATATCTCGAAAAAGTTGCAAAACTTTTTTAACGGCTTTAGTGCACTAGCACTCCCGGCTTTTCTATGTCCCCCTCCGCGCTCTTTATCATTGTTTTAACTGACAAGAGTTAGGCGAACTATCTATCGCTTGCCGCATTTTTCATGATTTATGTGTCTTAAATTTGAAGTCAAAAGGCTTAATATATTAATGTTCATATTATCAAAGGGCAATAAAAAAACTTTATTATACATTTCATTCAAAATAAAATACGGAAAAACCATCTTTAAGAATGTCTTAAGCAACAGTTGGGATGTACTACACAAGTAAGATTAGCTACGTATTAATTCTTTAATGACAACAAAAAACATATATGGCGTTTTTTCTGTAACATTGTGAGTATCTACGTATCAACTTACCTTTAAAAGACTGCTTCAACAATTTGACTATGCATTGATGTATTTAATGGCTAGAAGAATGTATGTGTATGCGTCGAAGTAAAAAAATCCATTACGAATAAAAATCATTTTGTTTTATCGACAGCAATTACGATTTTAAGACTTTACACGAATAACTATTACGCGAACGGCCTTACCTACATCAATTGTCTTATTAACGACATGCTTTTACGTTTGTCAGTTTGCTTTATAAAGCATTGAATATTTTTTTGCCACTTGTTTCGAAGAACAGCTTTTAACACTACCGAAATAAACACGACTATGCACGATTGTCTCCATTTTCTTTTTTTTTTCATAAATTTTCACCTTACTTACTTGCAAAACCAATCGACAGTGTAATTACATTTTTGCCGTTTTCCGATATAAACGCGGCATAAATTTTTATTTTTTATTTTACCATTCGTATAACTAAATTTTAAGAACTTAATATTATTAATAAATACTTGCTTAAAACGTCCCGCAATTATTTCACACACCTTTCACATGTCCTCTGCAAATAAGAACTAATTAGTAATAATAAAGTGTTAGAAACACATACCCCTGCCTATTCGTTGATATGCAATTTACAGAATTCTATTAAATTTTTGGCGAGAAGAGAACAATTTCATCGATATCGCAGTATTATTGCACCTCATTGCATAACTGCATAGAAGCGGGCAGAGAGGAAAGAGATGATTAGGAATTAAGATTTCTTTTTTCTCTATATTTTCAATGTATTGAAGGAGATCATAAAACGATAAGTCACAAATACTTGCGTGCATAATTTATTAAAGAAATCAATTGTTTGAATTTTGATCTGATAGTATGTGTATATTAAATGCCGGCCTGCTTACTAACAGAAATAATTACAATTAAAAAATTATTATTGAAAACTATTCCCTGCCCTGCCCTGCCCGAACTTTGATTTGTACTACACTACATATATGCGTATGTTCCAAATAGAAATTATTATCGTAGCATTAACGAGTCTCTTTTATTGTGAAAACACCGAACTCACTCAATATGTAACGAGTAATAATATTTCACACTCAAAATAAAACCAAATAATACTTTATCTCTTAAGATTTTGATAATTTTTGCTGCTTTAATTGCAATGTACGTTCTCTTCATATTTTGCAATAATTACATTATATTTCTTTTAAAAATGTTTAAATTGCCTGAAAAAAGTTTCACACACCTCCTTTGCTTCACTTATAATGGAGAACTGATTTTCTACCCAGTAGTGTTTATGTGTGTGTGTTTACCTTTAATAAAATTTGACCTAAATGAGTACACAACATGCATTGTTATTATATGATATACGAATTACTCTTTAAAAACGAACAAAAGAAAGAGAGGATCTGAAGCTAAAGTAATATTTGGAAAGTTTTTTTGTTTCTGCTTTCCTAGCAATGCTAATGAGAAGAAGATGGGGTTGAGAGAATGCCTTTAATGCCTTTATATGCATATATGAGAATAATTCTTTTTCTAATTAGATTAAAGATGCTATTTGTTATTTAATAACAGATAAGCACACAAACACAAAATATAAATTAAATACGTGCAATCAATGTTGATTTGTCAGATTATAAGAAAGGGTAATAAGAAATTTTTTTAAGGCAAAAAATTTACCTGTAAAAATCTGTATATAGAAGAAGGTACAGCATTTGTTGTCACATTTAATAGTACCGCAGATTCTCATAGCCGCTTTATCTCTGCTTTCCGATACATTTTTACACCCTACACCACTTGTGTTACAGAGTAATTTAAATTAGTACGAATGTATGTAACATGCAGAAGGGCTTAAAATAAATTCATCTTATATTCTACCGAGCGATTTAGAATCATAATCTAAATTGATCTAAGTCTGTCTATCAGTCTGATGTCTCGCCATGTACATTTGTGTTCTAGCTACAGGTCGCAATTTTTGAGATATTTTGCTGAAGTTTGGTACAGTGACGTGTTTTGACCAAGCACAAACGCTATTCAAAATGGTGCGGATCGGTCCACTTTTTTGGGCACGCCCTATTCTGAAAAGTTGTTACGTAGAAAACCATTGCAATATTCAAAATTTCTCGAAAAAAAATGTCTAAGTACAAATTGCTATGGAAACTTTGGACCTGGGGCAATTTTTCATCACTTTTGTTGTGCTTATAACTTGAATCTTGCTTCCTCTTCACTAAAATAATTCCCAAGTAAAACTTGCACTGCAATCATTAGAGTTATTTTTATTTTTTATTTTCCTTTGCTTTTTACTTAACATTTTTCCTGTTCATGTATTATATACCGTATATGCACAGTCCTTCTCCATACATATACATATTTCTTATTTATGTTAATGCATATATTCGCTTCGAGTGTTGACAATTGATTGACCAATAAAGTTATTACGGTTCAGTAATGCAACTGACATACTCCTTTAACCTGTTATCGTTTTGCTCTTATTGCCACACTGCTGTTCGACGGTAAGCTCAATGGTAAAAACAACAACAACATCAGCAATAGGAATGTAATACGTATGCGGGCAGAGCGGGTGTTACATTAAAAATGTTGAATACTTAAAAACGTAATTAATGGTCAATCCAAGGCGCATAATTGTCATAATTAGATTAGCGCTTAATGAATAAATGCGATATTTTTAATCGTATTATTATTATTTCCTTTCATACCATTATTTAACTTTCTGTACATTTTCGGACATTGAAAGGATTTATTTAAATTGAAATAAAACAACAAAAAATGTTTTAACTGAAAACGAAAGATGAGTCATAAAAGGAAATTTTACATATAAAAAATTGAAAAATTATTGGAAAAATTAACTTTTCACTTAACAAGCGAAAAATATATTCTTAATTCTATTTATTCAATTGAGAACAAGTTCGACGACTTGAAGTTTTTATAAGAAAATGTTCTCTTTGCATATAAACTCATTGCTGTCGAGCGTAAAGATGGCAAAAAAAAAAGAAGAGAATTGTAATTAACTACAACAAGTTATTAACGTAAACTATTACTAACTGCATGTTAAAGCAATAATTATCAAAAATCGAGACCCTATCGCATAACAAATTTACTTCCAGTACAAATCAATCAAAAAAATTGCGGAACCGTATCCGAAGTAATATCTCTTAGTTACGCTTAGATTGAATTATTGCAATTTTTTATTCTACGGAATATATACATATATATATACGGCTTCGTTAAACCCATGTAAGTGATTGTGTGTAAGGATTAGAGCCATTAGCCTTAATCTCAATTGCAAGGCGTATACAAAAATTTTATGGATCTTTCAAGTAATAATTTCCAAAAAAATTGTAAGATTATTTTTTAACTACGGGCGGGACTCTAGGGCAACGTCATATACCGAATCTATTTACCGATGTAATCTGAAGTCAAGTATACGTTTCTCGAAGCAAGGCCTTGATTGCGATAGTGTATTTTAAGAGGTGCAAACAAAGACACATTAAATCGCTTTCGCTGTTCAGTCTATTATTTAGTATAAGACTCAAAACGTTACAAAATCTAAACGAATCCAAAATATCGCTTGAGATGGGAGTTATAAAAATTTACCGTGTGCGTGTAATTATGCATATCTAATGGAAATCGAAAATTATCAAATGTGTTTGTGTTGTAAAGAATTCGATTCACAATGTATATATATATATATATATATCTATATAATTGTAATTAATTCTAATTGGTTTTCTCGCATAGTTTTTAACAAATCGAAAACTATATTATCTCTCGGACAGCAGAGAAGATCTTCATGATGATATTTATTTACTTATTTATTATTATATGTAAATAAAAGTTAAATTATTTTAATCCGACTACGTATTTTTCCACAACATTTATTTCGTCTACATTGAGATGTAAATGGGTGCGCTTGACTTCGTCTACTGTGCAACAAAACATTATACCCATTGTGGAGTAATTAAATGTTTGCCACGTTGAACTCAACCATGGAATCTCAGAACAGATGTCTGGGCAAAAGACAATCTCGCTGCGATTATAGAACTGCAAGAGTTAAAAAAAATTCTCATTTAGATATAAATTGCATAACCCATACGTCACACTGATAGTTAATATTACTAACATCAGCAAAAGGAGAATTATAACCGAAGACAAATATTGGCTGGTCGTGAGTATTTAGAGGCTCTACATACTCATAGATATATAAATGACAAACAGATTCAATACTAATATCAGCCAGCTCCTCAGGTACCCTTTCACCTAATGTTCCGCCAAGTAAAATATGGGCATTTGTACCGCTGGCTATATATGATTGTAAAGCTTTTTGATATTTGTGCCAATTGCCTAAACGCAAGCCCGCCCACCAACAAATTTCAAGCGCAGATTTTAACTGATTTTTCAAATGATCGGGCCATTCATTTTGGATAATCGGATTGTGCTCCATATGCCTGAATGTCCACCAAAATTTTGCGTGTTCGTCATTTTCAATTCCAGACTCCGTCAACCATCTAAATGAAGTAAAGCGATAAACGATTATTTCTCTAAAGACCATACGTTAAGGACTTGCTTAGTTCTTTTAAATAATGATGTTAAATTATTCTCTTGCAGTTTCCAGTCATCGCCTTGTGTATCCCACTGAAATATAATAATAAAGATTTTTTTCTTTTCGATATTTCATTTTACATTTAATTTTAATTTAAATTTTATTTCCTATAATTTATAAAAACTTTCGGAAATATTACTCTATAGGAATCGTTTAAAAAAATCCTTGAACAATTCTTATCTGTTTTTAACAAGTTAACTGACTAGATTAGAGAAATAATTCGGGGATTGTGTGCCCTTAGGCAATACGAGCTAACTCATAGTTCCTTTACCTGCATTATTTATACAGGTAAGTGGTATATTTAAATCCAGATAAATGGCTACAAGGAATAGATCAAAAATGGATGATGGTTTATGTGGACATATATATAAATTCGACGCTTAGAACTTTCGGTTGCATAAGTCAATCGTAAAATTATTTTTTTGTTTTAAAAAAAATGCTTATGATGATCGTTTTGCTTTGCATATAATGTGGTGACAAGGTTTTGAGAAACTGAGAAATTCCTCCTGTAAGGTTTTTGGAGATCCGACCAGTGTCTCTTATTATATCTTCTTTCATTATTTTCTTCCGGTGTCAAGAGCCCCCAAAGATCTTTTCTATGATGAGATGATATCGCAAAAACTAAACCTAGGTAGTACAAATTTGGCTTAGTTAATCTTTACACCAAATTAGCAGTGGGAATAAGTTTTCATCGTAGAATATGAAAAATGAAAGCTCACTTTTCGTAGGAATGATTCTATGGGGAAGCGGGGAATGTTGCTGATCGCTCAAAAACTTGCAAAAATTGCAATTAAGTAAATAAACGAAATTGAATATTGTTTGGGCAGTGGCTGTAAAGTCCATCTATCAATCATCGATCAATGTGCAATAAGGTTCCGTCTTGGGACAAAATCCACCTATAGGTTGAAAACAAAAATGAACTAACAGAAATCGCTCGAAAAATTGACGCTGGGCGTTACATATAACTAACTGAGAAAATTAAAAAAAAATAACACCATTTGAATAGAAACTTACCGTTATACCGTTAGGCGACATTTTGAAAAAGATATCGTAAAGTGCGATATTGTCTTGTTTATAACAAATACCGCCCAACCAGGTCTTAGTGCCGTTATCCTTAGCCATTCCTATCAGTCTAAAATTGATAAATGGGCACCACGGTGGATCGTATTGAGGATTTGAATAAAGCTTCCAAGCGGGATCTGATCGAATTTCTGCTTCACTTTTCACATAACCAATAATCACAAATATGATGGCAAATATTAAAAAGTTGAAATGAAATTTCAAAAACACTTGCATTGTTAATGATTTTGATATTAAATTGTGTAAACAAACAACCGAACACATTATATGACTGAAGTTAAAATTGCATTTTCTCGCTCTTATATATCGCTTACGCAGACATATATATATATATGCATTGGAAATGAAATCATTTAAATTAATATTGTAAACTTAATTTGATTAGGATAATTAAAAAATGCCGTTGCTTGCTTGTTGTTAATTAGTTTTGCATCGATATTTGTCGCGCTTTATTCATTACCTTGTAAAACTTCTCGCCTCATCTGGTTTGTTGAACAAATTTATTTATTATATTGTATAGTTAGCGCATGTGAGAATGGCGGACGATATCTTCTGGAAGACTCTCTTTTATCTCTCTATCCCTCTTCCCTTCTCTCTCTCTCTCTCTCTCTGTTTTCTCTTTACCTCGCTCGTTTCTCACCATCGCAGGATGACATAAGGGAGATCTCCCGAGCGGATTGATCATATATTGAAGAATGGAAAAAAGTTATGATCATTTCTGATGAAGATCTTCCATTATTTATCAATAGGTCCACGCTTGCTTGCTTTTATCTAAAAAATTCCATCAAGGCTTACTTTCAAAAATGGAATTCTGTCCATTCGTTCCGATAAATTTGCTTCATTTAAATGGAAAAATTATAATGCGTTTTAAACATTGTAGTGTACCGCTTCGATACTCAATTAATCAATTCATTCGTTCATTCACGTTCATGTACAAATTGATATGAATTACTTAACCTTATTGTTGTAATATACAATTTTACTGCCAATAAAAAGGAAAAAATTCCCGAAACTTTTTTTTTTTTTTTTTTTTTTTTGGAAATAAAACAACAAAGAAAGTAAACGTTTACTATTAGTAACGATTGCAGCCATATTTACCGGAATAAAGTTCATTACAGTGCCAACACAATGAAATATAATGACCGCAACTAAGTGGTATACGATGAAATCTTTTATACTATGAACTTAGCCGTACTTACGATATTCAAACCGCAAGCACTTATCAAAAAAAAAAAAAAAAACACAAGTACAGCTATACAGAGGAATTTTTCCGCCGTTTAGTTTTCTTATTCATTTCAGGACTGCGAAACCAAAAAAAAAAAAAACATCATTTTTTAAAGTATTTTCGCACGATTGGTTTGCGGCAAGACTAGAGCATAATGATGACGAACACCGTTGAACTCTATGATATTCCAAAAAATTTTGATTACAAATTAAAGTTCCATTAGATGCTGGTCAAGCAATTTTAATGATCATTAGGAATGCATACAATTTTTATATATGATTAAGATTCTTTAATAAATAAATGATATTGAGAAAGAAAACAATATTCGTAACTAAACGTAGCGATTACCTTTAATCAGAATTAGAAAAAAAATTGCAAAACCATTGAAAAATAAATCAATGAAATTGGCAGAAAATTGCTTGAAATGCGAAGAGCTCGCATTGTTTACTCAAGCAACAGGTAGATGGCAAACTGGACCAACAATCAAAATAATTAAAAAAAAAAAAAAAAAAAAAAAGCAAAGGTATTCGATTCGATCTTTGGGTACAAAACTGTAAATAAATGGTAGGTGAATAAGAGGTGCGGTGGGAAATCCGAATTGCGAATCAATTTAAGCATTTCCGTCCATCCGTCCGTATAATGTGTATTGTAAACAGTCTTCTGGCTACTAAAAACTAAGCCAACGCTGATGAATTTGCAAAAGAATATGAGTATGACTCAAATCGGTCAATAGACACGCCTACAATTTCCTTACACCTATACAACAAAAACTATCTACATTTTCGCTTTCATAAAATGCACCACATGCACCATATAAAATTTCATTCTTATTTCAAAAACTAGAAAAAATCAGCCACGCCCATCCAATATTATAAAATCAAAAAAACTTGCCATTTTTTTCAAGCTTTTATACGATAATGGTGATAAAAGCTTTGTTTGACGGACGCAATTTTCTTTTGCATAATTTTTATGATTAATGAATAAATGCATAAAATAATCCATAAAAGTTATAAGAAAGCGAAAAATTTCCGAAATCTTTCAATTGAAGAGAAATCATCGATAACTCTAACCTGGCAGCAAAACTCTTGCTACATAAGACCCTAGAAGTGGAAGACTATTGAAATTAGTACACAAAGTAACAACGCTTCTGAGAAACTTTGCTCACCAAATAAAGTATTGTTTTTTAAAATTTTTTTATTTCTTTCCGGCTAATAAAAATATTTAAGAACAACGAACTTAAATTTTCCAATACTTAATCGATTTTGACATATAAAAGCGACTACTATTAGAGTTTGTCAACGCAAACTAATTTCATATTTATTTATATATTTTCAACAAAAACTTTAAAATGATTAAAGAGCATTTTTTTTTTTTATTTATTTTTTTACAAAATGATGAGACTAAAAACGAACTGTCATGCATTCAGATCATCGGTAATAACGAGTTAGGAAAAAAAATTCTGATGACAGCAAACGAACAAACAAAATATATTATAAAAAAAAAAAAAAAAAAATTTTTTTTTTTTATAAAAAAATTCGCAATGAATAGAGGAAAGAAGAAGAAGAAGAAGCATTGAAAAAGGCAAAAAGACATCATAAATTTAAATGACACTCAATATAAGTATAATTGAATGTAAAGGCATTGAACATCTGCAAAATAATAAATCTGTTCTTTTTATTATGCCAATACTATCTATCTATGAAAGTGTACTATGTGTACTATGTGTGCATACATCTACAATTATGACTTATCATTAAAAAAGATTTAACGCAAAGCTATTTTCTTTCAATCAGAACAAATTTCCTGTACTGACACAGAATGACGTCTACATTGAATTGTTTTCGATATTTCAGTAAACTTTATTAGGGAAGAGAAAAAGGGAAAATCTTCATTGATTTTCTTAATAGATTCTTTTAATTTAATCACGCATTACAAGTGAAAATTCTTTGAAACATGTTGTATTGCAAAAAAAAATTCGTAACTTACTTATTATTTTTTGATTTTCCTTGTATTACCTTCTCGCACAACAAATTCGAATGTATGTGCATATGTGAAAAGCTCACCTATTATAGAAAATTGATTCGTTTTCCAGCCGTCACCGTCAATTGAAAGTGTATTCATTTTGTTTGTAATACCAATAAGGAAGATGTCTGTCCGTCCGTACTTCCATTTGTGGTAAGCATACTACGGATCTTCAAACATAATAAATTGTCTTCAAATTTAGGAAAAACATTGAAAGTTCTTGCGTATGGCTTGGTATCGTAATTTTTGCTAAATCGATCAAAGAATACGCCTATGGCGCAATAGACATTGAGAAGAATTCAATTTTTTTTTTTTGCGTTTCTTACTCAAAAAGCTTTTGAAGGTTTTATGATTCCTGTGAACAACTAAGAACATCGAGCTACGCCCAACTAATATTAAAGAGCATCGAAGTTTCAGTTTTTTTTTTCCTTTCTAAGATCAACTTGATGAGTGGAAAAGATTCGGCCACAGCTGTAGATGATTTTCTTACTTGTGAATATTGCTTTTTAATTTCTAAATGAATTTGTTACGGTAACAAAAATAATGACATTGACGTAATTTCAGTTTCTCCTCGAGACTCTAGCGAGAATAAAAGCATAGATATGTTCTTAAAATGAATTTTCATGTTTCATGCTCCCATACTACTGCTAACATAAGTTTCCTTTTTCTCCTTAGATAATGATTTTTCACATTTATATAAATCATTTAGACTTTTCTTAGTCATGTTCAGTGCTAATAACGTTTTCCATGTCACTATCTTACATTAAATCGAATGACATGACAAATCACGATAGTTTGACATTTAGAAGATCGCGCACATTTTTGAAAACAGATAAGTAAACTAAACAGATTGGCATTTGCGAATTGTGTGCTTGCGAACCGGCTTGGCTGTATGGGTGGATGGACGGATAACATGTCAAAAAGTATACTTGTGTTGTTGTTTTTTTTTTTTTTTTGAACAGCAAGCGGGGGCGGTTCGATCAATTAAATGTTCTTAGTATTAACCGTTTCACTTTAACCTTTAAACGCCTACAATTTACTTGTGCTACTTAGCATAAAGCATCGATATGATTGCTACGCCTGGGTATACCAATGAATTTTTGAGCGCCAAGGGATTCTCAAAATAAAAGCCCTTCTTCTGTAGGATACAAAAATGGCTTGTACTTTTATTAACCGACGAAGAAGTAACGCTGTCGACATATGCTCTTTTCTTCGCACTTCGCACGCCTTATTCAATACCATGACATACAACTGTGCAGTTGTATATATAAAACTTGTAATGCTTTGAAATGAAAATCTTTGTCAGATATGAACAAAAAAAAAAAAAAAAAAAAAAAAAAAGCGCAAATGACACAATTTGACATTGATTATTAGATAGACAGTTACAGTTAAGAAATTCTTTATAAATGAAAATTTATAAATATCATTATCAATTACTTAAAACTGGCAACTGTCGTACCGCATGATTATCTAAAATTTGAAATTAATATTTTTTTAAATTAAAATAATCAATTTTTTTATATTATATTTATTGTATCTATTACTTTAACATCAAGAATACTAAAAAAAGATTTTCAATTGGAATCGCTTTCGATTATTCATAGCAGAGGATTGAATTGCTTTCACAAAGAGATGCGTAAACTTGATTACATTCATTAAAAACTTTTCTATGGATCAATGTAAGACCTAATCTTAACTTATGCTAATGATGCCGACAACGACTTAATGCAGGTTAATGGTCGCTTATTATTAAAACGTTAAAAAACATCAACTATGCGATATGGATGACAACTACTATAACGTGTATGATATTCTTATCAGTCTCTAAGAATTTAACTAATTCGAGTAAGTCGCAGTTAAAATGTCATTTGGAATTATTAATGCGTTAAAACCACGAAATGAAAAGTCCATAACACGAACATG